TGAAAATATTTATCTTTTTTATCACTTTGAGTCGTTAATGAAGCCCATCAAATCAAATTCATTCACATTTTCCCGCGGAGTCCTCATAATTTAGCGCCCTTCATAAAGTAACCTACCAATGCTGCAGCTAGTCGCTCGTCAGAGCCCTCTGGGACGCCGCTCGTGGCTAGCTGTTGCTTTCCTTTGTTCTGCGTTTCTCATGTGATTGTTCATTTTACTTAAATCCTATTAACAACTAGATTGGTCTTGCTTAGATAGACTCTGAGATTTATAACACGATGATTCCTGATGAACTCCTCCGAACCAACACTTGCTTATTATTTATTGTGTATTTCTTCAATCTTACTGTTTAGCCGATACATTGGAGTTTTATAAAGGCTCATCATTTAACATGCCTTAGTTGATTTTTCTCGATAAATATAGATTTTACGTAGATATTTTACTAAACAACATTAGAATATGTTTACAATATTTGAATACATAAAAATAGTCGTTGGTTATTTTGCATTTACTCTACAGTAAAAAGCTATGTAACTTAGAAACCGTTGTGAGGAAACAGGAATCATTCAGTGTCGTGTACCTCAAACTGACTGTCAATGATTTGTAAACATTGTTTTATCACAATGAGACTTAATAAAACACCCAGCTCATTGGGACACACTCCGACTCACACCCAAAACGGTACTGTGAAAAGGGTATCAAAACAAAACAGTAATCAAAAATTCTAGACGCGCCAAGGGATTTTTCAACCTTTAATTTCTCCGTTCATTCAAATCATTTTTTTTCAAAAGAATTTCTTTTCTTCCTTAGACAATATTTTAGAGAGAATAGTATGATTTTTTCATACAAATAACTATTTGAATTTTTGAGAAATGGACTCCAAATTCGGATTCTTCAATCTCGATCCACTTTCGTGAACATCTACGAGAAATTGACTATGGAATTTTTCCACCTTGATGTTCTTTTGACCCTGTCTACAAACATACACACACATTTTATTTCATATGATCCTCCCTTCAGTCGAGGGAACAATAGTCAAAATCGTAAAAAAAACAAGCCAAAATTTAACCCTTCACGGTATGCAACAGAATTTGAAAATGCAAGCACCATTGGATATAGAAGGTCTTCCTCTACAAATCTAGATATATCTGGTCCTTTAGTCAAAACGTTATAGTCGCATTTCCACGTATCTTATTAATTTCATATCTGAAAATTGTTCGATTCTCATTTTTTGATTCCGATTTGCGGCGCTTTTTTGGGTGGTTCGAAGCATCGGCTAAGTTGGAGGTGGCGAACCAATGAAACCCTTCAGCGAAGAGGAAAGAATGAAAAAGAATTCAGAGAATGGGTTTAGAGATGAAGTTGAGAATGAGGATGAAAATGGCGAATTTATTATTACAGTATTTTTCTGTTTTTCGTTTCGCTCATTTTTCGCTGAACTGTTTTTTACTAAATGAACACTATTTCCTGGTCAAGAATTTTCGTTTCCGCATATATTTGTCGTCAATTCAGTCAAAAGGACTCTTCATAACGATGATCGATGCTTCCTTGAATTTCAAATTGCTTTGATAAGTCAGCAATGCTTATGACTGCCTGTTATCTAAACAAAGTTCTCAACTCAATAACTTGGCTTAACATATTTTTTAGGGTTACAGACCCCCTGTTGTGACTGTGAGCGAAATAGATTGTGATGTGAATCAATTGTACGACGTCTCATCAAATGGCAGCAACGCAACTAATATCAGGTTTGTCTTAATTACACAAGATGATGATTCTTTTAGAGTTTTGAAGGTTCATATCTATATTTTCTTCTCTTTAAAGTGGCGTATGTACTTTCCGAAGAAAATTAGTGATCATCCTGACTATTATTATTCTACTCATTTTGGCCACTGTCGTGGTTGTTCTTATTGTTTTCGTGATATTTAGAGGATCAGCAGCAAGTAAGCTCAAGTTATGCTAAGTCAACTAAACAGCTTTTTTCGATTACTAGCTTTCCATTTGCTCTACTCCATCTCAAAGTAAATCTGGTATAATTAATAAAAAAATATAAATCTTGCTACTCTCTAATCAGAGTTTTAGTTTATTAACTGATAAAAAGTAATTGAGTAACTTCATTTATTTTTAAGTCTATATGAATACTTCCTTTAGTTATCTACTTGTTCAGAGTAAAGAAACGCAGTATAATATCAACTATTATCCAATCTCTTCTCAAATCACTTTTGAAACGAATTCATTCCGCTAAAAGCAATAATAGCCAGTTTTAAAAGATTTTTTATTCGAATAATTTCAAATCATAACCAATTGACTGGCAAAAATAACTATTTAGACCTGATCTTGAACGACTTTTCCAAAAGACAAACGGTAGTCCTTTTCAGTTTTTAGAGATTTCAAACAATAATACATTAGGCACTGCTGTTTAATACTGGGTGTGAGTGGGTGTGAATGTGAGAGTGTGGAGTTTGGATAGGAGAGAATGTCAGGTGTGGACGGTAAGGTATAGATATGAGTGAAGACGTATAAGTACGGTCTTCATCGTTCTACCACACGTACCTACAACAATGCTCATACCCACATTCGCACCGATCTCCACATCTCACACAAACATTCACGGTTAAACTAACCAAAGCCTACTCACACTCTTGCTCAAAATAAGTTTTCGAGATCAGCTAAAAAATGATGTCAGTCTCAATTTCGAATCCAATCCAGCTCCGGCAAAAAGAACAATCTTTCATCCTAAAATTCCTTCCACAGAACGGAATCCAGAACTCCTAGGTCAATCAAGCTCGACCGTAAACGACCGTTCACTAACCAAATAGGGCGAATAATAAAGACTGTTTATGGTAGCTGTTTAAACGGGCAGTAAACGATGTTTTACAGTATACTACGTCAATTGTGCACGTTACCCGTAAAAGTCTACCGTAACAGCACGGCGACTGCATACTTTGGTCGGAAAACAACCTAAAGCATCGTTTACGTCAACCGTTTCCGGTTACCGTTTACGAGAGTCGTATCTGATGCCTCATGGCATACTGCAACCAGTGTAAACATCGGTCGGAAACTTTCGCTGAAAACGATCAGCGTGGCAATGCGACGACTCTATACGCTTGTATTATAAAACGTCGTAAGACACGCCCACTTTAACCGACCTATCAAAGCCTGCCTTTCTATATCTCTACAAATGAATAGAAGAGGATCCATACATATGCACATCAATTGAAAAAGCATCTTCAACAACTCTAGGGTTGACCCAATCATGACTAGGGTGCGGTTGTGGGTGTTGGTGTGGATGTAGCTGCAGAAGGAAAAGAAAAACACTCACACCCACACCCTCGGTCGACTTAGCTTTTGTCTTAAGCTATTCTGAACTCTAGATATGTAACCGGGTGTTCGAAAATAAAATTGTGTCCTTAAAGAGTTATTACTAGACATCTTAAACATTTTTTTAGGGAAAGTCATAATAGAAAAGCAGAGAAATCGGATTGATGTGACTAGTTTTTCTAAGTAGAATTCGTTTCGTTATATCTGATGTAACTATTGAAGATCGCGATGAGTAGGATCGGATATTCGGAATCTATGTGCACAGGCATTTTGATACAAAGAAACAGAAGAATAAAATTACCTCGTCAGTAAGTTCGTCGAAAAAATTGCCAGGAGATCGTAACGGAGATCAAGACTTTTCTTTCGGTCTTTTTCAGACAAGACCAACTGTAACGCAAGCATATCACTTCACACTTTCTCGAAGATGACTAAATTTTAACATAAATACGACTACTTTTTCTTTTTC